GTACTTGGACAGGGACTATTCCCCTGAAATCGCAAGTTCCCAGCTTTCTCAGTTACCCAAATTCCAGCCAGAAAATTTCACAGGGCCGTACGTGCAACCACGCATAGTGGGGGGCTGAATTTGATAAATTTAAGTTGTAGATGATTTCCTGAAAGTTTCCGCCTCCCAGTTTTCTTAGTTCCCGAGCTGGCGATTTTCGCACCAGGAACCCTCACGAGGCCGTACGCGAGAACTACGGACCCCCGAGGGCTGAATTTAAAACCTTTGAGTTCTACTTGGACTGGAAACATAATCCCAAAATTTCAGCTTTCTAGCTTTTCTGGTTCCCGACTTAGCGATTTTCCCGCCACAACTTTGAGGCGTTCATACGCTGGGCCTAGACGTGCTTGAGGGTTGGTGCCGCGGTCCTGGGGTGGCACTTGGCCGGGGAACCCACTCGCAAAATTTCGGCGCCGGAGCCTGTTTGGGTGCCCAGCTGAAATACCAGGACAGACGCACGCACGCACACACACACGCACACACATACACACACACCGGGGTCGTAACAATATGTGTTTTTGCATATTATGCAAAAACACATAACTAGGAATAGGGTTGTAACGCACTGCTACTTTGAGAGTTACTTTAGGTTTTAGTTTATTGGTTGGACCGGTGTTTGTAGTCCTCCAGGCGGGCTGTTTAAAATTTTTTGTTGATATGATCCTCATAGAGCCTTTGCGGCCCGTACTGCCTTCCTACTTCAGTTTTAACTTTAGACCCGGGCTTTTGCAGTACTGGTGCCTGTGCCACTGAGGAGGGAAGACCTCTCACTCTCTCCCCCACCCCCTGTGGATCCGTCTATGCATGCGGCAAATTTTCGCGGACCAGTGGCACGATTTTGCTCGTTGTAGTGGTTGCGAACATAACGAAACAACTCAGAAAAATTACACAATACAGACCCACATGATTTTATTATGGCTGATTATACCAAAATTTACAATTTTCACTTCTAGAAGTGATTGCCATCTCAACGATTCTTCCCAGAGAAACACTTGATAAGACAATTCATAGCTCGTATATGACTTAATGGATCGAAACGTCTTATCTCACTCTTATTTTCTCTCATACTGTTCTGTCATGCTGGAATCTATCGCGCCTTTGACATTTAGGTTTTCAGGGTCAACCTGGTTGCTACAGTCGGCTCATAGCTGAATAATTATGCTGTAAATTGTAACTATTTAAACAATCAAAAGAAATATTTTATTTTCAACAGTCAACATAACGGCAAACAGCAGAAATGGATTAATACGAAAGACATAACATCATAACCAGCACAATACAATTAGGTCCAAAAAAAAACCACCCTTTTTCAGTGTATAATTGATTTTTCACTAAGCCTAGCCACGAAAATATGCAGATGATTTTTGGGGAAAATACACAGGTTTGTGGGTTTGGATGAGAGTTGTGGAAAACACAGTCGTTCACCAGTACCTATTTTTACGGTTCGGTGCGATTCTCGAATACAAGCACAAGCTTACCAGCTTCCACTCAGCACCTAACTTCTCGCTTAGTTATTTTTTTTCAATATTTGATTTTTCACTAATTTCACTGGGAAATCACCAAAACCTAGTCTAGCTGCGCAAAATATGCACATGATTTTGAGGGAAATGTACACGTTTGTGGGCTTGGATGAAAGTTGTGAAAACCATCGTCGTACATCAGTACCAGATTTTCGTGGCTCGGTTCGATTTTCGAATACAAGCACAAGCTTACCAGCTTTCACTCAGTTCTAATTTTGTAATTACTTTCTTTCTTAGCATAATACGTCTGTATAACTCATAATCTTTACCTCAAGAGAGGAGCTCATCACCATCCCAATCAATACTGCCCCCCCCCCCTTCCCCTTTTTTCCTTTGCTGGGACACTTTCTGCAACTTAAACCAGCATTCCTGGTCTTTTTCCCCTCCCATCCACCTCGATCCCTACTCTATCATCCGAGAGGAGTGTACCAAGAAAATTACAACTCTTCTGCAATCCGGGTCAAGCCAATTCTAGCAAAAGCCACTTAGATTGTCCATATGAGATGTAAGCCATATCACAAAACAAACTTATCAAGAACACTCGAACAAGACCATACCAGTTCATCCAAAAAAAGTGGTGAAATAAAAAATGCAACTTTAAAAAGAAAATACACAAAATTGAGCGAAAAAAAAAAAAAAAAAACAAAAAGCCATCTAGATGATGAGATGACAGAAACTCCTTAGCTTTGCTCTTTCTGTATTTCCAACATTTCACGTGGCAAATATAGCGGATTTAACTGTTGACTTAGCACATCATCGCTATCCGCTGTAGTGTTTCGGAAATCATACAGCGATAGATCTCCGTCCTGGATATCGCGGAACATACCAGCTAGGATGCGACGACGAAATTCATGTTTTGGATCATCCACCTCTTTCTGTATCTCATCCAGTATATTGAGAAACACTGCAGCACCTAAATAAATATAGGTGTACCATTTCGAACCTGAGGTAGATATTTTCGAGGAAAATGAAAATTTAAAAAAATGAGTTAGACGGCTGGCAAAGCCAGAAAAGTGGCAAAAAGTGTCTTCTCCTAGTGTCGCGGAAAACTCGCGAAAAGTCCGCCAAGAAGTCTCCAGAAAGAAAAAAACGGGAGAAGGTGTATCTTACCTTGAAAGGCAGATACACAGTAGATGTGCTGCCAGGCTGAACCTGGGCACAAAGACAGGCGGTGTAGTGGTAACACATTGCGTCCGGACGTAAAAAGGAAGAGTTCGATTCCCTACAGGGTTCAGAAGAATTTTCGAGACTAGGGCTCCGTCATGATACCTAGTGTCCTTGTACCAGCAACTGGAAAGCAAGTTTTTGCGCTATTTATTTCGGTCGCAAAGTGGTACTGTCCAACACTACAAGCCAGGGTTCAAATCATCTTCAGCATGCTTTAAAATACTTTTTGCAAAGAAAAACACCGGGAACATGTTGTTGGCAAAGTATTTCCGCTCGGACTAATCCAGTTGTCTCCATACTTTCACAAAGACTAGTTTGGGCCAAGCGATATTTATATAAGACGAGTTGTGGGCTTTAAATTACACTAAATTATCTCATCTTAGTCCAGGGATAGGAAATTTGAGGAAAATGGTCATGCTGCACAGAAGTTCCAGGATTCCAAATTAGTCTTTCTGCACAGTCATCCCACGAATTCCGGTATGTCCAGTGCAACCGCTCCAGACACCGTAACGTTACATGAAGATATAAAAGCTAACTGAGTGGCTTGATGTTATCAAATTTGCTTGATCCAGAAAGACATGATTGCAAATAACGATAATAGTGAGAGCAATCGATCAGTTCTGCTTTGCCAGCACCGCGACAGTAGGTCGAATCTGTCACCCGGAAAAGTTTCCTCGTTTCCGTCGACGTCGGTCGACATTTAATTTCATGTCCTAAATACTCCTGCAAAAATGAAACTTTCTGTAAAAAAAAAAAAACATATCAAATTAACGAAAGGGTAAAGTCAAAAAACTACCAAAAGAGAAGCGTCCGAATAATCCGTGTTTCGTTGCTTTGATTTCTGGATGGTGCTCAGCGCATCTGACCAACACTGAATC